CACATCCACAGCACCTCTCTCTCCAGCTCGCAAAGGACACAAAGCCCTTCACTCGGTTCATTCTTCCTTAGGAAACAATGGACAACACATTTGACATTTGCCTTCTGACTGAAGCCCGATGGACCTGGTAGACCAGAAGGATGTGCTGGAGGAGGGTGTGGGCAGCGCGGAGGAGAAGGTGGGGGTGGACGAGGCCCTGGAAGATCTCTGAGACCACAGCTACCTAGGGCCATTCGGAGGGAGGGCAAACGGTGCCACATGCAGCACTAAGGCGCTGTGATGTCGTAACTCCACACTGTGCTCCCAGATCTCACCAAAGACTTGCTGCACTGCTGCTCACCAGACCAGAACAAGAGCAGAAGATTCCAACCCAAAGGCTAAACTAGAAAAGAAAAAGTCCTCATGACAAGGTCTATTATTAAAACCGTCCCTGCAGGTAATGACTAGGCCGCGAGCCGCCGAGCAGTGTCAGGCCCGAGTGCCCAGGCTGCCCCAGCGGCCCAGTGGGTGTGCGCAGGAACGAGAGCCCCACCACCACCACCATTTCTTAGCTCCGGGACCTCAGGGCTGCCTGTCCCTGACCTTTCCGTACCTCAGCCTGCTCACGATGAGCAGGGATAATCACCGCTCGTCTTCAGGGCCGTGTGGAGGATTCAGTGAGCGAGCCACAGAAGCACTGCGTGGCATTGTGAGTGAGAAATAAACTGGTTACACAGTCACCAGTGACAGCCCTAGCAAGGTGTGGCTCCGGAGAGCAGGCAGAAAGATGAAGGGCAAACAGGGGCCCCTCTGTGACGCACTTCAGGAAAAGCTGGAAGTGGCACAGGCGGTGTGTCCTCCACCAGCCACCTTCTGGGCCTGCTCCTGTACGCAGGTCCCCTCCGGCCCCACCTGCACACAGCTCAGCCCTGTGACCATGGCGGGGCCCTGCGCCTGTGGCTGGGACTGAGCACAGAGCGCCCTAGGCCCACCCACCTTTGGGGTCAGCCCAGCCTCTGTCACCCTCCCAGCCTCGGCCTGCACTCTCCCTGTGCCTGACTGCTCCTCCCACCCTCCTCCAGGTCCCACTTAACCCCACGGCACCATCCCTTGTCTGTGCCTGTTGTCAGCTCCCCACCGTGGGGCTCGATCTGTACCGAAGGATTTATGGTGCGTGGGGGGCATGGGGGGGACTGTGACACACACCAGCTTGACAGCAGGAGTCAGAGAGCAGCCTTTGGAACTTTCCAGCTCTGTCTCTCCCTCACCTGGCTCTCCTGACCCTCTCCAGAGCCCGCCTGGCTGCTCAGAGTCCACTTGGGCCCATCAGCCAGGCGGCTATGTGCAGCAGGGCTCCACTGAGACTCTGGACACCTTCAGCCGCACGTCCACGCTCAGCTCCCCTTTCCCCACGGCTCACAGCTCAGCGCCTGAGATGCCTCCACCTCCAGTTCTTACGAGGTGACCACTTCTCTTCTTCTGTGACCTTGGTGCAAGGGGCCACCCTCTCGCCATGGATGACCGCAGTGGCCACTCCCCACCCCTCCTCTTCCGCCACTGCCCCTGTGTCCCCTTACCACACGCGTCTGGTATCACAGTCTCGCATCCAGGAGATATAAAGAATATTTAAAAATCAACAGTAAGAAAAACAAAAGCAACTAACATAAAAACTAGAGACCTGAATAGATAGTGACAGATAAAGGACGGCAAATACACACAGGAAATGACATCCAACATCATCACCGACTGCAGAAATGCAAATTAACACCGTGCTGAGCGTCCACTGAGTTATCAGAATGACATAAAAGTTTAAAATGCTGCCAATGCAAAGAGCTGAGTAGAGGCAGGGCAACTGGCACCCCACGCCTGGCTGAGGGGTGGAAGGCGTTCACACCTTCCTGCACAGTCCAACCTGGCCTCAGCGGATGCCCAGCACTCTGACTCCTGGCTCTTTACCTCAGAGAAGGAAAAGCCTGTATTCCCGCGTGAGCCTGAACACAGGTGCCCAGGTCCCTTGATGATACTCCTGTGCACCCTTCAGGCCCAGTCCTCTGAGTGCCATTTCTGCAAGTGACAGCACTAAACACAGGGTCAGTGACAAACTCAGCACCACACAGCGATGGGACTGTCTGGCGTTTTCAGCTTAGGTCTGCACAGCCTCCGGCCCCGTTCTTCTGCACCTCAGGTTTTAGAAGGCCAACTCCAACAGGAAGAGTGGTAGAGACAAGCAGGGGAGAGCAAGGTGCCTCACCTTCCCGCAGCGTCTTCAGAGCACCTGCCCGGTGAGGCTGCGTGCCCGGTGGTGGGGAAGGGGTGGCACGCCCACCATATCGTTCTTTCCAGTGTCCCTGAAAACGCTGCTGAGGCCTCAGAGGGATGAGAGCTGTTCGGGCGAACAGAGCGTCACAAACTCAGCAGGCAGAAGCACACGAGAAGCCCAGCCAGCCCCTGATGCCACGACAGGCCCTGGGTGTGTGCCACGACCGCAGGCAGCCTCTCCTCCATTCCTAGCATTCTGCACATGGAGTCGCTGCTCAGGGCCACACACAGAAATGCCGCATGATGCATTTGGGGGAGTAGGTACCTTCAAGGAACTTGCGCTGTATGTGATTTTCACCCCCTACGACCCGACCTTAGGACCCGAGAGTGGGTCAGACGCAGACCTGCTGCACCCTGGCTTCCTCTCGTTTACTCTTCTTGAGGAATAACCAAGAAACCAGAGACTTGGAAGGGGAAGTCAAGGCTGCAAGGTTCACTCTGCCGCTACCACTTCCCAGAGTAAGAAGCAGGGGACCCACACCCTCTTCCCGTGACTTTCACCCTCCACTGCAGGCTCTGCCCTCCAGCCCTGCAGAATACTTACAGCCTCTCTTCCCACCTCCTTCCCAACAGCCCCTGCAGGCTTAAAGCCCGTGCTGGGATGCTGCTTCTTGGTGTTCAGAGTTGAGTATCTGCACTGTGCTTTTAACTCTTTGTTCTTTAAATCTTGTGGTCTTTGTTTCTGGGTCAACATCTCTGCTAATCCAGAAGGCTGGCACCCCTTGCCCCGTACGGCTCCACTGCAATCAAGTCCAGCCCCTGGCTGCTGCACCCTGAAAACCGCATCTGAGTTGGAAAGACAGAGACCAGAGCCCACATGGCGTGTGCGGCACGGGCGAGTTGCAGAGGGAGACATGAGGTCCCGGGCCACACCCTGGAGGTCCCCATCAAACGCTGTTCGCCCATGCCTCCTTGGGGAAACAGCCAGGCTGCTTCCTGCCCTCTGCGTCTCCGACACCCGACACTCCGACACTCAGACACCTGCCACGATGTCCCAGGGGTCCTATGGTCTTCTGCATTGCAAAGAGGACCGGAGGGGAGGGGAGCTAGATTCAGGTCACCTCCCAGTTCTCAAATGAAGCGTTCTTAAATAAATTCATTGATAACAATACAATTTCAGATCCCCAACATCAGGGGGCTTGGTCTCATTTCCTGGCATCTCTCAACTTGCCAAATGACATGAAAAAAGTCCCCTGGTTCTCAGCTCTCCACGGAGGAGCCGGATGCGAACAACCGAAGGGCCCCTGCTAATCCGGGGCACACTGACCTGCAGCTGCCCAACAGCAAACCGGGGATCCACACCGCCCCGCAGAGCTAAGCATCTCAGCCAGCTCGTGATCTCCAGGACAGAGGACTGTGTGGGAGGCAGTGGCAGACGTGGGCTCCAGCACTAGTGCCACACGGTCCTACATTGTGCTGCTGCCAGAACGTCACCAGCCCTGGAACTCACCAGGGGGATGAGCCCCGGCAGGTCACAGCCTCTTTGGTTCTCATCTCTGCAGCGTGGAGCTGCAGTGATCCCCAGAAGTGCAGTGACTAAAACGCGCGTCCAAATGAGCACCGGGGCACACGGGCCGCATGCCCTTTATCCAAACATCCACCAACTATCAAATCCACATTCCCATGGCTTATCACAGGCCAGGCACGGACAGCCAGAGCTGCAAAGGGCTGAAAACCAGCTGCTCCAACTTCTTCTTCCCTCTCCTCCCTCTGGGACTCACAACGAAGAAACAGGCTCAGAAAGCTCAGGACATGCATATTCTCCACTGGTACAGCCTGGCCTGAAGCACAGGGCAGAAGAGGCCAAGGGTCACACAAAGCACAGAGAGAACTCTTCCCCAAGTAACTGGGGACCCCCACATAAACCCAAACTCTGAAAAATAAAAACAGCGGACCTTTTTATTTATGTAAATTTCAGAGGGCTGCAGGAGAGAGATGGCGCCACAGCCTGTCTGTGGATGCAAGGATCCTCTGAATCTCTTAAGAAGCATGGGTCAGGGCATCCACGTCCAGCCACTCACAACTCTGCTGTGCCCTGCATCTGCTCCACTCCTCTTCCCCATGTACACTCAAGGCAGATACACTCCTCGAACGGGGCCTTTTCTGGCCAGGGAAGTTTCAGGTGGAGCCGTCACCCACACCTCATTAAATACCAGCAGGAAAACCACCGCTCCATTCTCCACCCACCATACACAGAATCCCTCACCCGCCCAAGAGCCCCAGCCTGCACCACAGGGCGCACTGACAACTCAGGCTGGAGCCCCCCAACACGATCACTCAGGGATCTTGAGAGGCTCTCAGCCTGGAGCACCTGCGGCCCAGCATGAGGGGCCAGCCCAGACAATGCAGGAGAGGCCAAAGACCCAATCCAGTCGAGCTGGCTGGCTCTGGGGTGCAGAGCCCCCCCGAATGCATTTATCCTCAGACCCTGACAGCTGGCTGTGCCAGGAACGTTCCGCATGATGCTCCTCCCAAGTGCATTCCCCCACCAGTGGCAACCCCAGAGCTGGAGGGTCCCAACCCAACCCAAGCCTCCCGATACATGTGTCCTTAGCGTAAGACCAGAGAGGGAGGCCAGTCTGCCCAAGCTGGCACCACGGCCGGTGGCACCCACCGCCCAAGCCATCTGGATGACCCTTGGCCTCAGGCTGCTTCCCAGCCCGCCCCAGCCCCTACCCCCTCCTCCTAAACCCTGGGCTCACCACCCAGTTCTGAAGGTTCTGCCAGCTGGGACAATGCTCAGAAGCAGGTGGCAGTTTAGTGACTCATCAGGGGGACCTGGCACTGTGGCCATCCCAGGTGGCAGGAACTTTGAAAGGCTCTCGTCTCTGAAGACTCCTCTTCCTGCCCCGGCTTCTCCTCTCTTCTTCCCTTTCCTCCTCCTCCCACCGCTCGGCCCTGCTCCTCTGTAGTACTACAGTGACATGTGCTTTGAGCTCTGCTTGGAGGAGGACTGTGGCAGTTTACTGGAAGGAGAAAAGAACAGTCTGCTGCACCCTGCTACGTGCTCACACCTAGCAGAAGAGGGAAGAGAGAGAGGCACCAGAGAATGATTAACCCTTGTGCTCCAGCTCAGCTGCAAAGGGAACAATGCACTTAACCAATGGAGTGCCAGCCCAAGACATTACATCATCTGCCAGCACTGCCATTGGCTGAGAATTCCTAGAAGGAGAAATCCTGCCTGTAGGGGCTTAACCATTTCACCATCACAGCAGAGGGGATCTGCTCCAACCAATGGGTCCTGCACTTGCTCTTAGCAGAATCACCCAGGGTGCAGACCGCCCCACTGCAGCCCACCTCCAGAGGGGCGGATGTCAGTATTTCAGACACTCAGAAACTTCCTCTCCAAGTGAGTGGACACACCACTCCAGCACTTCACCTCCGGCACTGCTTTCCTACGCTGAGCAGGGACATCACTGACCCCACTTCACAAGTATGAAAAGCGGGGCTCAGCTTTCATAATCCCTTCAGATTACAGAAAACATAGGTGCTCCTGATGTGCTGGAAAATGCCAGTGAGCCGTGAGGAGCCGGGGATGAGAAGGCGAGTTCTCAGAGAGCCCCAGCCCTCCTGGGAGTCGCTCTTCCACCTCCACTGCACATCTCAGTGGAGCCATCACTTCCAGCTGACACCCGGGACACCAGGGCTTCTGCGGCTCTGGGTCTGGGAGCTTCAGGTGCTTGTTCACTGGGCAAACTCCATGGGATCACAGCCACATCTGCCTTCTCACCCACAGACACCAGCACAGCACTGCCCCATGCGAGTAAAGGAGGAGGGAGGCAGTGGGAGAGAGGTGCGTGCTCAGCTTCCAAGTGAGACAGGTCTTTGAAGGCTGGAGGTCAGAGAGACCCACAGAGTGAACTGCCTGACTGGCAGGTTCGCTTTAGGGGACCTTGGTTTTCCTCACCTGAAAACGTAGACAACAGCACTTGCTTCCTGGGATAGCTATGAGGGGCAAATTAAAGGACACCCCATTCTGCTGCTTCCCGCACTCTGCCCAGGGTTCATCTGTGCTCCTGACCGGCACCGAAGGGCTGACAACTGCCGCGTCCACACTGCAGTCCACGCCTGTCTCCACATGGGTACTTCAGGGCCCATCCAAAGGTGCAGCGCAGTTTCTACCATGCACACCACCCCCTCCTCGCCACTGTCCCAGCTGCTGGGCTCTTGTTTCTTCATAATGAGGAGCTACCTACGTATCTCAGGCTACAGTCCAGGGGCATTAGTATCTTTGCAACATGTGCCCCACCCCCTCTGTCTAAAACATCTTCGTCACCCCAAAAGGAATCCCCACCCGTCACCCTTCTCCCCCAGTCCCTGGCAGGCACGGTCTGCTTTCGGTCCCTATAGACAGGGACAAAATATTCTACATACTTCATGGGAAGGCAATCATGCAATGTGTGATCTTCTGTCGTGCTTCTCCTATTTATATTTTCAGGTAATGTTTTCAAGACTCATGCATGTTGTAGCATGTATTTGTACTTTCTCCTTTTTATGCTGAGTAATACTCCATTGTAAGTACGATACACCCCATTCACCCCGTGATAGAGACTTGCCATCTCCCCAATCTTAAGCCATAAGCTGGCTTGATGGCCTCCCTGTATAACACACCTAATGTACCAGCAAGTCCTGCCCACTTGGCATCCAAAATGGCATCCTAATCCTTCTGCTTTTCTCAGCACTGCTGCCATCCTCTAGCCCAGGCACCCGTATCTCTCACTAACTTCCAGCTGGTGACTCGATCCAGTTCCTTCTCTCTAATCCACCTTCTGCCTTGCACCGGATGCACCCTTTAAAATGTCTGCTCATTGCAGATGGTATTTCCTGAGCGTGCACCGTTCTTGATGGAGCTTCCCTCCAAGAGGTGTGACAGGAAGCAGAGGCCCCATCAGGTCACATAGGTGCACAGGCCTGCACTGCGTCAAAGCCCGGGGGCCCGACCTGCAGGGCCACCCAGGCCGGCTCTTTGCTCACAGGCTGCCGCACATGCAGTTCCCCACACCTCAGGGCTTCAGGCCCCTGCCTTCCTCGGGGCCCAGTGTACATGAGGCTCCCGAGTGACCTCCCGGTTGCCCGGCCAAGCACACTCACCTCCTCCTCCATGCAGAACTCCATGCGCGGCTCTTGGGATAAAGCCATGCAGGATCCCAGCAGCCTCAGTGGCCCAGCTCAAAGGCCACTCCAAGGAGAGGAGGTGGCACTGAAACGAACGTGAGAACGCGTCCACGGGGCAAGCCGGCTCATCCCGACTGAACCCTGGCTGTGCAAAGCTGCGCTCCACCCTTCATCTCCCTGGCAGGAATCAGTACTTCACATCTGGGTCTGTCACCCCTGCGAGAGGAGCTGTTCACAGCACCTAGGACAGCCCCTACCATGGCAGGCGCTCGATACACATTGACTGGACTGTAAGTGGGGAAATGAATGAATGACTAATTGACCAATTCATCAATGAAAGCACTCTGTGAAGTGTAACAGATCACTTGCTTGTGGCCAATTGTTACTGTTGCTATTGTTTTGTGGTAAAATGACGCAGAATCCACTGGGCTTTTGGAAGACAGGCTGGCGGCAACAGGGAAGAAAGCAAACCCAGAAGAGAGGCGGGAACAGTCCTGAAGGCACTGGCTCTGGCGAGGGCAGCCTCCTCACAAAAGCTGATGTGCTCAACTCCAACTCCAGAAGTCATTTTCAGATGCAGTGAAGACATTGAACGGTGAAAGGACCGAACAGTTCCTTGGTGTCCGCTGTGCGGCAGGTGCAGCACAAAGCCTGGTCCTGTTTACCCCCAGGGTGACCCTGAGGGTAGGGACTGGATACTGCCAAGCCACTACCAAGGCAGTACAGCCACTCTGCTGCACGGCTTTGGAGCACAGGTGCACAACTCACCGCGGAGCCCTGTCCAGGAGCTGTCCTGCTGAAGATGCCCAAGTTCTGGGGCCTCGGGATGGGCTGAGCCCTTCCTAGCCTTCGTCATGGACCAAGCCCTCCCTCTGCTCTCCTGCTTGGGGAGGACCACTTCTCAAGAACCCTCCTGCACACGAATCAAAGGCTCTCTGAGCCCTCTTCTGGAGGACCTGACTCTGGTGGGTGGGTATAAGTCATGGTTTCCTTTTATCAGGAAACAAGGGTTGAGACGGTTGGCAGCAACTGTCTGCCAAGTACAGAGCTGAAGTTGCTTTCTGGCCTGGCTTCCCAGCGAGCCGTCAGTCTACACACAAGCTGCCCAGAGGGACTGTGCACCTGAGGGACCCGGGGCCAGGAGGCAGAGCAAGAGAGCAGAAGAGACCGGGTCAGCCCCCTGAGACAAAATCGAGGTCACAGGCTGGAAAACACCTGAGCCTGGCGTGCTGTCACATGGGCCGCACCGCACCGTCTGAATGCAGCAGATGGGAGCAGGGGCCTCTACAGCCAAGTCCCCAAGGACCAGCTTCTCCAGTCCTGAGCCTGGCCGGGACCAGGGCTCTTCACACCTCTCCTTCCCTACGACAAACTTGCAGGCCCCCCAAGGCCACACGTTAGGAACTCTGTCCCCGGATTGTGCTCCCACCCCCAGACCATCCGATGCAAGGCTGCCTCGGATTCCAGGGAAGGACCCTGGACTTTGGCAGTTGTTTTAGCCTTGCCAACGAAAACCTTCTGAATATCCGCCGGCATATCGGTCTGCACCAGTCTTCAGCCGGCCCCAGCCCCGCCCCGCTCCCCGGCCCCTACGGGATCGCCTCCCCTAGAGCCCTGAGCCCTGCTTGAGCCCCGCACCGGCCACAGAGCTCTGCAGGCGCCCGATGCGCAGGAACAAACCCAGGGGTGGCAGTCCCGCTCCGACCAGGCCCAGGGCCACAAGTCCTGGCTCGGCGGCCCGGCCCCACTGTCAGAGCTCCCAGAGCGGTGCGGCCTCGCCATCGGCCAGGGTGGTAGGGTCCGGATCCCGGCCGGGCAGCACTCGCCGGCTTCCGGGGCGCTGCGGGAGCTCCAGCCCGGCGGGGACCCTGAAGCTCGAGCCCTCGGAGTCTTACCGTGCAGCCCACGTCGGGCGCTGGAGCTGCCTCTTGATGCACCCGATCGAGGCCCAGGGACAAGCTGGGTCCCCGCAGGCTCTGACTCCCGGCGCGGCGACCCCGCCCCTCCCTGGCTCCGGGGCGCCCATTGGCTCTGGCAGTGAGACCCCGCCCTCAGAGGCTCCGCCCCACTCTCCAGAGCCCGGCTCTTCACTCTGCTCACCCCAGCCCTGCTCAGTCCTGCACCCGGCTCCCCGGGCCGTGGCTCTCATTGGCTCTGAAGCCTGGCTCCGCCCTGGAGGCCCCGCCCCTCGGGCTCTTCCTTGCTGCGGGAGAGTCGCTCCAGGCTCCCTGGCGTGGTGGCCGCGTGACACAGTATTTCTCCGTTCCCGGAGGGCCCTGCCGCTGGGGGAGTGACAAGAGTGCGGGCGCCGACCTGGGACTCGGGGTGCTCCAGGGAGCGGGCGAGCCGGG